AAAAAATAAAAATTTTTAACTTATACAATAGGCCATTATTTTTATAATTGGCTGGTAAGTATGTGAGCTCAGTGTAGTTGTCATAGTCCACGTCTTATTACTGCTTCTCAGATCACCTCCGAACAACCTACAAGTTTGGCCACAGCAGTCACGCGCGTACACTGGACCCCTCTCCCCTGGATCTCGGTTCTGGAGATCAGGGGTGGACATGTGACCCAAGCTGGGCCCCATCAGATTCTCTGCTAAAACTTGGATCTTGGACTCTGTAATTCTAGCTGCTCACCTGAGCAGAAGTGATAAGGACCTTGGGACTGAGGCTGCCCCTGCAGGATGGCCCTCTTCTGCCGTGTGTAAAAGAGAATGGGGAGAGCTCGTCTGCTAGACTAAGAAGTGCAGGCCACCAGGCACCATGTGGCCGAAGCACATGAGCGCCCCCAAACGCCGACTTGTGGAGCTTGGTTTAGATTCCAAAACCCCTTTTCTTAGTCGCGTGGCTGTATTTTTTGCTTTATTATTTGCAGACTTCTTTATACATTGACCTCAGTGAAGTGGCTTCCTCATACGTGATTCAGAAAAAGCTTTTCCATCTACAGTATCTAAATTGTAATTCTGTGTATATCAATTCTAATTCCTTCACTTATACTTACCTTTCACTTTTGTAATTGAATTAAGGGGCTGGTATTATATCCCCCCAGGCTTTTAGTCTGGCTCCTTATTCTAAACTCTTGAGGTCAGTTAATTTATTCTTTCTGGTTCTTAGGGGCACTGGTTCCCTCCTCCTTTCCCTCCCACGTCTCAGGGACCTAGTCTGTCTTGTTCCACGTAACATCCCTAGGAACAGCAGGTACATAGCAAAACTGTAGCTTTCTCTGAGTCAGATCCCACTGTATTATGTATTTCTTCTTCATGGGACTTAACTGAGCCTGTAATGACATGTTTATCTGTGATTTGCGTGACTGTTTATTAATATTTGGTTTTCTCACTAGAATATAGGCTTCATGAAGGCAGAGACCTTATCCACCTGAGAGGACAATTCTGGGAGATAATTACGTGTTTTGGTCACTCTATTTTTCCCTTTATGCACTCTATGTAGGTATGTAGGCCCTTCTTGCTTCCTAACCCAGGGATTTCTGTGGGTAGGAAGAAGATGTTACCCCAAGTCTTAAATTCACTCAGGTGTTTCTTTAGATTTATCTACATAATTTCCACTTCCTTTGTTCGTTGTTTCTTGCTGTGTGGGGAGTTAGCTACGCTCCCAACAAAAAATTGGGTCCCTTAGGGTAGGGGTCATCGCAAAGGATAAGAAAATAATAGAAAATGGAAAATAACAGAAATACACAGAGACTAAGGTATAGTTTTATAGATTTATAAAGATAAAAGGCAAAAAGCGGGGTCCTCAGGGGACTTCGTAGTATCTCCGTCAATCACAAGGCCAAGAATAAGTTTCACATGGGCATTTATAGGTACAGAGATCGGTTGCCAGGGGTAACAGATTTACGTAATAACAGGTAGTTCGTTTTGGGTTAAATAAAATACTGTCTTTCATTTCTCAAAATATATTAACTATGCTTTTTATATTTCTTCTGAACTTACAGCCTTTCAAAAGACTTCTATAGATCCCTTAACTAACTCTGGTTACAAAGTCTTTCAAGGACAAGCTTCTAAGTTCTAAGATAAAGCTATCACTTAACAGAAGGGTTAAACAGAGATATAGTGGCTCCATATTTCTTTATCTAGTTATTGCAGATAGAGACAGATCATCAGAAGTCAAGCAGAAACTGTCCCTTGGGCTAAATGTTTTTAGCCACAGGTATCTGTCTCTGGGAGGACACTCTTTGATCAGCCCTCATCCCATGATTCCATGTAGATCTTGCTTTGTCCTTCCAAGCAGATGAGAACCACGGGGTTAAGACCACAGAGTCACCTTAGAAAGCAGCTGCTACTGATCTTTGAGATGCCCTCCTAAGGTGGAGCAGCTTTTGATATGCAAACTAACACGTTCACATATTCTTTCAGGGCAGAGCCCTACAAAACTCCTGAGACCGTTTCTGTCTCTAATATAGTAATATTAATTTATGGAGCGACATTCCTGCATCTCAAGTCTTTTCGTTTGGGATCATTTTTCTTCCACCTGAAGCACATCCTGTAGAATTTCCCTGAGTGAGAGTCTGCTGATGGGAATCCTTCAGTTTCTGTTGGTCTGAATATTTCACCCGTTTTCTTGATATATATTTGGGTAGATAAAGAATTCAGGTTGATAAATATTATCTTTTATTTCTCGAAATATATTAACTATGCTTTTTATTTTCCTTCTGAACTTACAATTTCTTGGGTTTTATTTCATCCACCTCTCACAGATGGTGACTTATTTGCTCTCATGTGTTTTATGGCTTTCTTTTTGTTTGTGTTTTTACTGTGACTCCCGTCCTTTCTGGGGCCCTTTAGTGGCTGTTCTTGAGGCCGGCGTTGGTGCTGGTTTGTGGCTCCTTCCCAGAGATAGATGCGCATTTGTTCCTGCTAGTCACTTAGGTACTGCCAGTCCAGAACCATTTTAAACTAAATTAGCTGGTTGAGATTTTTCTCAAACTCCAAATTTTATTTGTCATGACATCAATTTCAGAAATTAAAAATCTATTAGATTCTCCTCATAGAAAGGTCCTAGGTTTTATCTCTTGTCTCCTGTTCATCACGCTGCTTTCCTGGGGAAAGATCAAAACATATGTAGGCCTCCCTTGGCACCCTGGAGAAAAAGGCCAGCTGTGGGGTCTGGTTACCTCACAGGGTTACTTTGTTTCCTTCCTTTTGGATTTCTGTGGATTCTTTCCACCCTTCTCAGCCCAGTGATGCCTTAGAAAAGATTTGTAAAATATATTTTATGTAGCCTTTAAATAATTTTAAAATTGTTTTTTCAAGAGTGTCAATTAAATTATCTAATCTGGTGTATTGGTTTCAATAGAAGATAAACTTCTAAAATGTACATAAATAAACATTTATTGTGTACAGGTCAGCAAGTACATGCATATTTTTTAATATTGCTTCTTTTGTACATGAAAGGTAGCACATTATAGATAATTATCAATCCTTTGAAAATTGCCTCTGGATTTGAAATCATAGCTATAAATTCTTTTATCAATAACTCAAATTTCAAAACAAAAATGATATGCTATAGTGTCAAAATCATAATAATGAAATCCAAATAGACTAAGGTAGAATGTTCAGTCTGTGTCAACAGATACTAAAGGTTATGAAAAACATGGAAGAATTATAAAATTCTTACATTTATAAAAGGATTAATTTCTTTTTTCTCATAAATGAGAGTCAGTAGAAATAATTTAATTTCTGAAATTGATGTAATGAGAATAAAATTTATAACATTTAAATGTCAGAAGTTTCACTAATAGAATTTGAAAACCCACATTCATATTACTTAGGAAAAAATGTAAAGAAAACAAAAAGTTAAGGAGAAGATAGAAAAAAACTAATAAAAAGCACTAAAAATAATAAAACATAAAATACGATTGTGGAAGTCATTATGGAATTATAACAAAATTACAGGTGAAGTAGACCCAGCTCTTAGAAATAAAAAAAAAAAGAGTCAGGTTAAAAAAAACAACAGCTGTCTTCTATTCCAGGAAAATGCAGACAA